TGGTGGCTGGGCTTCATTCGCCCCAAAGCTGGGACCCTCTGGCCCCTTGTAATCAATGGAGAATGGTTGGTCTTCTCCGTTCTCCACCACTTCTCAGAGGCTGGAAGTTGGAGCTAGCAAGAGCCGGAAGCTCCTCCCCCTTCATATTTTATTATTTATTATTATTCTTCCCTATTTTATCCACATTTGGTCACTTATTTATTTTTCTGTTTATAACTCTGAGCAGGGGTTGTAGACAGCTGTTCTTTTTACTCTGGGGAAAAAACTTCAATCACAGGTAAATCAAGAAAAATCAGTGGTAAATTTTAAGGGATAAAGTATATTTTCATTGCTAAATTTTATTTCATCGTGTGGCTTCATGCTTTAATTGCAAACTTTACCCTGATCCAAATTTCACTTAAAAAACAAAGACAAATTTGTGTGGAACATGTTTTGTTGGTACACTTCCATATTCAGACTTTAAACGTTCCCAGAGAAATAATCTGAGTTTTAGCTGGGAACTAAATGATAATAAAATATGGCCTATTTAATAGCCACACTCGTGGTAATACCCAGGTTGTTGTTTTGCTTTTGCTGTTGAGAACATATCAGGGATGCCATATAATTGCATCTGAACACGCTTTTTGGCACAATGAAGTCTGTTTTCTTTGTCATCTTAAAACATCTCTTAAAAGCGCATCTCCAGATCAAGCATGCTTTGACCAGATTCTGGATCATATATTAAATTTAAGTCCTTCAATGAATGTTTTCCCAATGTTTGCTATGCTTTAGATGCTGTACTCTTAAATACAGGACCACGATGATGAATATGATGGTCGCTAATCTCAAGACTTAGATGGTTTAGTGGAGAAGAAAGTGAAACAGGCAATGCAGTGTGCTTGAGAACTCTACTAAGGGTGTCTACTAAGCCACAGTTCAGGGTCTTAGAGTCTACCTGACTTACACACCAACTAGTTCCTGATACTGTTCCATGGGTGCTGTCAAAAGGTACAAGATGCCTGGGTCAAAGATAGAGCATCTTTAGTATTCCCTGCAAAGGTGGTAGCCAGAGTTTTGCAGTACCTTGTACTACTTCCTCCTGTGCCCCAAGTTCTGTGGAGTGTCTATGATAGATGCCTGAAGTGGGTTGCATTATAGAAGAGGCACACTGAGTTTAGGGGACTTACCACTTTTAGATTAAGTAGAATTGTGCAGAGATATTATCTCATCCCTCAAGGTTACTTGCTACAAACACAACCCTGAGAAATGGCCTAGGTAGTGTCCAGGTCTTTATATTCTTGGAATATCCAGCCAGAATCCAACATGAATCTCCCCTCCAAAAAAGTCTAGCAGACTCTGATGTAATATACATATGAGGGTAAACCATCTTAATTTTAGGAGAATCAAGAGAGGTATTCTGACAATGCATGAGGGTCAAAGAGGAAATGAGGGGGGTGGGGAGAAAGAAAGAAGGGAAAAAGGAGAAGGCATTGAAACAGGAGAAAAGAAAGGGCGGGGCATGTTCCAAACTTTAAGAAAATGACCCTCCACATAGAGGTCCACATGGAACTCCAAGCTCACACACAAAATTGCAGTCTCTGTGTGACTCTGCAAGGTAAATGCAATAAATCAGCAGTTCTCAAGCTGTGACCCCTTTGGGGGTCGAACGACCTTTTCACAGGGGTCACCGGATTCATAACAGTAGCAAAATTACAGCTATGAAGTAGCAAGGAAAATAATTTTATGCTTGGGGGTCACCACAACATAAGGAACTGCATGTATTAAAGGGTCATGGCATTAGGAAGGTTGAGAACCACTGCAATAAACCTTTACAAATTATATTACTCTGATCACTCTACAGTCATGTTAAATAGACATGAACTGATTTCTCCTCTGAGTTTGACATTTCCCCCTTTTCTGGTAACTGCTCCTCTTTGTTTGTTTTTTAATCATTTTATTGGGGGCTTGTACAACTCTTATCACAATCCATCCATCCATTGTGTCAAGCACATTTGTACATTAGTTG